AGTTAAAAATACGTTAAACGTGAACCTTTAAAAATACGTCTAACTCGCATTTTTTTAAAAAAAAATTCAATTATTTCATTAACATTTATTATTTTTGAGATACAAATTTCTCAATATAATTTTCATCATTTTATTATGAAATTTTATATGGAATATGATATAAAAAAATTTCGAAATTTTACATCTTAAAAATCATATCCCGTGTAAATTTTCGAATGTAAAATTACACGAGGTATGATTTTTTTGGACATAATTTTCGATTGTAAAATTTCTCACAATTTCTTTGTAAGTTCGATTGTGCCCCCTAACTTTTAAGGTCTGCGTCCGCCCCTGGCTCCATGCTTATGGTTAATCATTGGCTTGAAAAAGTTAATTTTAATTTCAAGTCCATAATTAATTTTAATCACACATTTAATGAAATCCATAACTTTTCAACTGTTTATTTCATTAAGTTTTATCAAAATCATGTACACAATTTTTAATAGGGAACAATACAATATCTAAGGTATTTGAAAAATATAGTTTCAAAATTAAGAAATTTGTTTTAAGATTTCAAGAATCGGGTCATAATTAAATAGATAATTAAATTTTTTTATTAATTAAATAAATTAATATCACAATATTATTCTGTTTATGGTCAGAGTTACGTACTAATCACGCACTTAACGTTACAATCACAATCGCAGTTTTATAGGTTACAACTTATTTATCGATCACAAATTATTAAATTAATTATTCACACATTATTTCTCAATCAGAAATGTCACACGATTATGATTACGATCAAATCGCATAATGTCACTGTACGACAGATTTCGCGTATTAAAATACGAAAAACGTCACAAATTGTATTTTTAAGAAATACAAATAAGTAAAAATCTTCTTGTAATTGCAAAACCCTCTAATTAATGATCTGAATGTTTGAAGACGAGAAGCCACATGGCTTAAATCTGAGGTTTCGAGATTTGTTGAGAATTTGATTTGTCAAGAACTTTTCGTGTTCGACATTTAAATTTCGGAGCTTAAATTTGCACTTTGAAACTTGAACTTGATTTTCATTTAATTCGAAGAAAACTTTGATCTTCTTTGGTTTGCTTGATTTGAAGAAAATTTTAATTTTCTTTGTGTTCGCCGAATTTGGAATTGAGATGATTTCTTCTTTTCCTTCAATTTTGGAATTTCTTCAACACTTCGTGATTTTTTTTTTGTGCACTTTCACCTCCTCTTCTTCTTATGACCTTTGGTCCTATTTATAGGAATAATTCGTGACCAATTTTGGTGATCACTCAATTAATTCAATTAAATGAATTATAATTAAATAATTGTGGATTTTGAAAGAGTGGATGGACATTTAAAATTTCATGGGCCTTGGAAGGCTTTAATTTAGTAAACTTAATTAAACTAGTTATTTAAATTGACACAACCTATTATTTTATTTATTTATTTATTTTTACATCTACAAATGCCCCCTCAAGATTTATTTATTTATTATGAAATAAATAAATTTTGATTTTCGATTTTTTATTAACATAATTGTTATTCAATTATTTATTTATTTTACACAATTCCTAATTTACTTAATTTTTTTTAAACATACTTTTTTTTTATGTTTTATGGTAAATTAGGATTAAGTGAAACCCGATACCTACCTATTTATATGAATGAA